TCTGAGTTCTCTCAGCTTAAATATCAAAAGCATGTCTGACGCCTTGTACCCAGCCCAGAGCCTCCCCCAGCCACTCTCTAGCACGTGCAGCCAGAAGGAAGAAGACCGGCTCCTGAGAAGGCCCCAGAGGAGAGCTGAAAGAGGCCTGTACATGGACAGGTGCAAAGAAAACACTGCAGGCAGATCCCTGCACCCCACACTCTCATCTGGTCACTTTCCCTGACTGGATTTCAGAGACTTGAGAATTATCCACTATTTTGTGTTTGAAGTCCCATTAACATGGATAGTCAAAAAGCAGCTTTCATTAAGGTCTCTCAAATAACAACAGTGATAGAACAAATCGTGAAGCCAGCATATGATAAAAATGATTGCCACACTCCTATCTCAATCTCCTGCTTTGATTCACTACATACTGTAGCAAAATCTGAATGCTTGTGACATTGCTGCACTCCCCACTCATTTTCGCCTCCGTGCTTTTGCTCCTGATGACCCTGCCACCTGGAATGCCCTCTGCTCTTTCCTTGCCTCATTCAGCCTCGAAGATATAGCTCAGGTACCATCTCCTCCAGGAAGCTTTCCCTCATTCATCTTTGTACCCTTGTGCATCATAGTCTTCAGTGAAGGTGTGTTGAGCACTTAATATTGAATGGAAGAGGTTTCTCACTGTAACCCAGGACCAGAGTCCTCTTTTTTCCAATCCTAGCCTGTTGCAGCCATCCTAGCATCTCCTCTAACAATGCTTAAGGTCACGTGAATCAGGCTGTATCTGTCATAGGCTGCTAAAGCTGTAGAAATGTCTACTAGAAAATGCTTGTTTCCTTTTCTGACAAAGAAGAAAGGAAGTAGATAGCAAGAAAGCATAGCAGCTGGGGAGATGGGATGATATAGGCAGAGAAATGACACCACAGTACTTGGGGCAGGAAGCAGCCTAGACAACACAAACATGCATCTGACCTCTAAACCCACTATTTCTCTCCTAGCACTATTTCACTATTTCAGCAACCTACCACTTGGTCTAGGATTCCTAGGTATGCAGTCACTCCCAGCAAAAACTGGAGGGCTTAGAAGTGAACTAGACCCATGGCAGCTTCCATATCCAAGATCATTACTCCTTTAAATTACATCCACCCCAAGTTACACCTGGGGCCTCACTCTCCCTAGAGAGGGACTAGAGGGCCAAGTGGAGGTCCTTAAAAGTATGGGCTCTGCCCTAAGATAGACCTCATGGGGGCAGGTGTGGCTTAGAGAGAATACAGGAAGTGAAAGTGAAGTCACTCCGTTGCATCAGATTCTTTCTCCAGGGAATCTTCCCGACCCAGGGATTGAACCCAAGTCTCCCGCATTGCGGGCAGACTCTTTACCCTCGGAGCCACTAGGGAGAAGCACAAAGCTAGCCTGTTTAGGTTGGGTAACCCTGGGCACAGCCTTGTTTCCAAGGCACAGAGGAAGCCCCCACATCACAGAGAAGCCTCTAAATCTGGCTCAGACAGCTCCAGGAGGAAATACAGGCCAGCTCTCAATTTGAGTTTCTCTGGTTCTCATCTATACAGCTTAACAAATCAAGTTTGTTCAAGCTCATTTACTTACAAACTTTGGCTGGGATCCAGTGTCACCAGTCTGAGACCATGGGTCCCCTGGAGCTCATTGTGTCTGTGGTCTGTGGTCTTCTGTGACCAACAATTAGCCCCAGGATGCAATACAAGCTGCCATTTCCATTCTAGTCGTAGTTGCCATGGAGATCATCTGTGGTTCTTTGTGGGAACCAACTGCTAAAGCTTTCTGCTAATGGCCCATGGCCTTGACTCTTGGGATACTAGAATCATTAGGCAAGCAGAACACTTGCATTAGAGATTCCTCTCCTTCCTTAGGAGATTAAGGATTGATGAAGAAGGGCAAGGGACACAGGAGAGAATGTGCACCATTCTGTTTGAGAAGAGGTTTCTATCTCTCCTTTCCTTTGCCAGTGGAGTTCAAATGTTTTTATAAACTTAAGAAAATTAGGAGATACCATAGATACACAGTGATGAAACAAACACCTAAGTTCTACACTTGGCTAGGCCACCAACACTCTTTGTGAACTGAAGCAATTTACTCAACCTCTTTGGGCCCTCTTTTCTCATCAATAAATTGAAGAGTTTGACACAAACTTTTTCAGAGTTCCATAAGATGGTATTTTGATAATTTTTTTTGCTCCAAAATTACAAAATAGCTTCTCCTGTACAAGGACTATGATCAGTAAGAGTGGTCAGGTAAAATCACAGGGAAAAGAGCAAGACTGAAAATAACCCATGGTTCAGGTCACAGGGCAAGAAACTAGAGGAGCCCAGAAGCCAAAGTTTCAGATGGAATCGGGGCTGGGAATCAGGCAAGCTATCAGGGGCCTAAAGAACAGACCCAGATCTTCAGCAAGAGAAGATCATAGCCAAGGAACAAGGGCATCAAGAAAATCCAGAGCACAAACTTGTGTCTGAGAGACATGATGGATTAGAATATGTCTCTTTCAAGTCAGAAAATCAGTGAAAAAGTAAAATCCCAGTGAAAGTTTTGAAAGTTTGGAGACATCAAAAAGAAAATAAAATCCCAATAAATTCTCCTCTAAAACATTCAAAGTCACATGTGTCCAGCCAGGCGTATCACAGGCCACTGCAGAAGCTGAGCTGTGGAAAGTGCCTGCCAGAAAGTTTCAGCTTCTTTTCCTGAAAAAGGTTCCTAGAATCTAAATGGACAGTGCAAGGAAAATAATCCGTGGAGTAATCAGCTCACAACCTATGGTATCAAAGGTACAAGAGGTCTGTGGTTGAGACGCAGGCATCCTCAGGCTATTTCATATCACATCTTTTGCTGCCACTGAGATTCTTTTCAAAATCCATGTCTCTTGCGGCTGATGTTCTGATTCACTCTGAGTTTCTCACTACTAAAAAACCAAAGAGCTTTATATAGACTCCTAAGGAACATTTCCCCAGGCCTTGGTCTCTCCAAGTACAGTGCATAAAGAATTAGGTTTGTATCCCAGCCCTGCCGTTAACCTGCTTTGGGTTAAGGCTAAGTCACAGAATCATTCCAGCTCTCAGCTTCTGCTTCTGCCACATGGACTTAATCTTTCCTCCTCTGCCTCTTTCACAGATGCTAGAAAGAGTCAGTGAACCAATACCTGTGAAATCACTTTGAAATATGGTCTCTGGTGACAAGCCAGCGCTCAGAAAATAACGAGGGTTCATCGGAATCAGGGCTTCCAATTCAGCCTGCCTTCCTTAGCCATTTCTGTGTCAATTAGCTGTCACTGCACCTTCTCCTCAAATGATGCAAATTTAAAAAGCTGGCACAAGCTCATCTGGAATTCACATACCTAACCTTCAAACAGACAAGGACAATGTGAAATTGGAAATACAGGAAGATGGCAAGTGGTACGGCTGTCTGTGAAAAATGAGCATTGTAGGAACATCCTCACTTCTCCCAAAGACTCTCAGTGTTTGTCAATGATTTGTAATGCTTTCACTGAAAAGCTCTCATCCTCATGAACACATTTTGAACACATTTGAAAAATCTGTTACAAAAAATGAAGAGGAGAAAAACCATCTAATTCCAGAATCCTTTCTACAGAATAAATGGGTTCCAGAGAAGTAAGGCCATATCCATGTTTTTTTCCATGCTCTTGCCATTTACTAAGCAGCTGCCAAGAGGTAAGATTGAAGAGCGAGGCTGTTCAGCCAGCCCCCTAGCAGTCTTTCCATCTCAATAATTTAGGCCAGATGCCTTCAGGATGAACAATCTCCTTTGTCATCTCATCTTAGGGACCTACACACCCCATCCTTGGCATGTGTATCAAGGCAGTGCAGTGTTTGCCGATATAAGATAAATAGCTAAGACCCTCAGAGAAACTATCACTATATGCGATGATATAGTGTGCTTAACCACACAAGGGTAGGCTGCCACCATAGTTTTGAGGCCTTTGTGATCTTAAAATAACACAATAACACACAGAGGTTTAATTTAACACCCAGACCAAGATGCATTCTGCTTCTGAGATCCTCAAACTCAAGAATAAAGTTACTACAAGACCAACTGCATCCCCCCAGCTCATCTCAGAACATACTGCAGTGAGTATCCACACTGCAGTTTGAGGTAGACGTAAACTATTGAGAAAGGCAAAAACCAGGAAGGAGAACTAAGTAAAGCTAGCAAAGTCAGGGTGGAGGCAGAGACAAGTCTGGGGGGAGGGGTTAGAAAGACACTCCATGAAGAGGATTCCAAGGTGGATGTCCACCAGCACATCTTACAAACGGCAAAGTCCCCTTCACTTTCTTTTCACTCAGAGGTCCACAGCCTCTTACAGTATTCCATTACCTAGAGGGTTTCAGAACAGAAGTTTCCTAAAGAATAGGTTTCATTCTGGAAAATGGAAGGGTTGGTGTCCGATATCACCACTGTCTCCCCACATCTCATCTCCAAGCCCACTCCAGACTATTCACATGGACAAAAAAGCTGTGATCTTTCCTAGTGCCTTCTGGCACTTTGTATGGCTTAGGAGCGTCTCTCCTGAGAAAAATCAGTCCACAACAGGTCTGGGAGATGAAGATACTGTGAGAGCTCATAGTGGGTCAGTAATTCAGCAAAAAACCAGAAAGCTTTTGGCTGGGGGATGAGAGAGACATCCGTGCTCAAGCCAGGAAGAAGGTTCATTCGCACCCGCTGATCTCAGTCCTCAAGCACTGACAGGACTCCTGGCCCTCGGGAGTTGCCTGGTCCTGGACTCTCTAGACCAAGATGAAAAGGTGCTTAGACCTGGGATTTCCTCAAATTGCTGTCATGAAAAAGAGGCAGGTGAGCCCAGATGTGGAGAAGGAGCATGTTTGAGAGATGCATGATGATGTCAGGAAAATCAGGAATATTGTGAAGCCATCTGAGAATCATGGCACAACACAGTGAAGCATGTCAAACTCAAAACGCACAAATAAGCCCAAATAAATGACTGACATAAATAACTTGACTCAAGTCAGTGACTATACTGTTAAAAACTCCATCCGGACCCCTTTAAAATCTGCATTCCATGGTGGCCGCTCCCGGCCGCCTGCGGAGCGAACCTCAGCGCAGGCGCCGAGGCTCCGGCAGTTGGCCGGCAAGCCACTGCGCATGTGTATCAACTACGAGGGTGGGTGCTGGGGTTGAGGCTTTCGGTTAACACCACAGGCGCCACACCTGTGGGTGTTCAGATGGAGCAGCTTCCTAGTCATCCTGCTAACAGAAGAGCCAAAGAGGACGGTAATACTGTGCCTCTTTGTCGAGCCAAACCCTCCCCCAGCTTTATTAATCTTCAAGCAAGTTCCTCACCAGTCACTTTCCTGAAAATCCTGCCAACGAAGTTGCCGTCAGGTATTGACCACAAGCCCAAGGAATGCCTAGGACTCCTAGAATGTATGTATGCCAATCGCCAGCTTCAGACCCAGCTTGCCCAACAACAGATGGCTATTTTGGAAAATTAAAAGCATCCATGACACAACTGGCTCCTGGGAAAGAAAGCAAGAACTCTTCTCTCCCAGCCTTATCTCGCAATCTGTTGTTAAATCACCTGCCCCAATTCAGTAAATGAATTGTGAAACAAACAAACAAAAAAATCTACATTTCAGATCTCCAGCTTCCAAGAGTTGAACAGTAAAGACAAGTGGAAATAACTCAGCCTGACTGTCTTCAGTATAGTGACCTGCATGCTGTGGGTGCTTGACGTGATTTAAAGGAATTGAATGCATGGCCACAAAACTCATATCAGCCATGATCAATTCAGAAACAAGGAGGGAGAAATTGCTATTTGTAAATAAAGAGAAACTACAATTTATACTCATACCCACCTTTTCTAAGAGCCTCTGTAATAAGATAAACAAGGACTCCAGGTAGAGATTAAATGTGTTATCTATAAGTCTACAAGTGAAGAGGTCTTTCCAGTAAGCCATTATGAAAGACTGCTTGAAAAAATTTGAGACCCCTCTCTGAAATAGGTAAACTCTGTATTTTAAAATTATTTCTTCCATAGTCAGCAAAAATTCTTTAAGCAACCCCAAAACAAAGAATAAACATGGGTAGAATCAAGATCTTGTTGTTGTTCAGGTGCTCAGTCATGTCCAACTCTTTGTTATCCAATGGGCTGCAGCACACCAGGCTTCCCTGTCTTTCACTATCTCCTGGAGTTTGTTCAAATTAATGTCCATTGTGTTGGTGATGCCATCCAACCATCTCATCTTCTGTCATCCCCTTCTCCTCCTGCCTTCAGCCTTTCCCAGTATCAGGGCCTTTTCCAATGAGTTGACTCTTTGCATCAGGCAGCCAAAGTACTTCAGCTTCAGCTTCAGCATCAGTCCTTCCAATGAATAGTCAGGATTGATTTCTTTTAGGATTGACTGGTTCAATCTCCTTGCTGTCCAAGGGACTCTCAAGAATCTTCTTCAGCACCACAGTTCGAAAGAATCAGTTCTTCAGTGTTCAGCCTTCTTTATGGTCCATCTCTCACATCCATAAATGACTACGAGAAAACCATAACTTTGACTACATGGCCTTTTGTCGGCAAACTGATGTCTCTACTTTGTAATACACTATCTAGGTTTGTCATAGCTTTTCTTCCAAGGAGCAAGTATCTTTTAATTTTGTGGCTGCGGTCACTGTCCTCAGTGATTTTAGAGCCCAAAAAAAAATAAAGTCTGTCACTGTTTCCATTGTTTCCTCATCTATTTGCCATGAAGTGATGGGATTGGGTGCCATGATCTTAGTTTTTTGAATGTTGAGTTTTAAGCCAGATTTTTCACTCTGCTCTTTCACCCTCTTCAAGAGGCTCTTTAGCTCCTCTTTGCTTTCAGCCATTAGGGTGGTGTCACCTGCATATCTGAGGTTATTTATATTTCTCCCTGCAATCTTGATTCCAGCTCATTCTTCATCCAGCCCAACATTTTGCAAAAAATGTACTCTGTGTATAAATTAAATAAGCAGGGTGACAATATACAGCCTTGACGTACTCCTTTCCCAGTTTGGAACCAGTCCATTGTTCCATGTCTGGTTCTAACTATTGCTTCTTGACTAGAATACAGGTTTCTCAGAAGGCAAGTAAGGTGGTCTGCTTTCCCATCTGCCATTAAAAATACACTCCCCAGCAGCCAGCTAGGGCAGACACTGGTTTCAATCAGCATTGTGGTCAAGATTGTCTCAATGGAAAGACTAAGCCCAATGTAGAGGGTAACAATGAAGTGCAGAGCCAGACCAAGTTTGAATTTCTGCAATGGAGTTTTGTTAGTAGCAAAAGGTTGAAACCTCTGACCCTAGTCCAAAGTCCTTTAGTTCTTAGATTCAAGTGGGGCAGGTAGAGATCAAGTTGTCTAGGAGAAAGAATGTTGGTTCTATACCTTGTTCTAAATCTCCGCTCCATCTGTAGATAAGTTGCTTTACTCTTTGAGTCTGTTCCCTTCTTTTGCTCTGTCAATGGCCCTAATGGAAGGGCCAGAATGGTAACTCAATGATGTAAGCCTGTATAAGGCCCTTAGCACAATGTTAGCACATGTCAGTAGTCTCTCACACTTCTGAAACCAACATTTGGGACTATACACGACTGAGCAAAGAATTAGTGACCTGGTTATCACACCAACTGGTTCTGTAACTTTGACACATCACTGTACTTCCTAATGCATTAGTTTCATCACATGCAATATGAACTAGGTAATCTCTGAGAAGTCTTCTGGCAATAGGGGAATTCTCATTCAAAGATGGGAATAGATGAAAGTGCTGAAAGAAACATGTTATCAAGATGCATGAAGCAGAGCACCCAAAGCCAGTGCTCTGAGACAACTAAGAGGGACAGGGTAGGGAAAGAGGAGGGAAGGGGGTTCAGGATGGGGGGACACATGTATACTTGTGACCAATTCATGTTGATGTATGGCAAAAACAATCATGACATTTCAAGTAATTATCTTTCAATTAAAATAAATTATTTTTTAAAGAAAGAGAGACATCAGCCTTAGGGTCCACCCTGAAAATTGCTGAATAGGGTCAGAATTACCAGTCATCTCAGGATCTGAAGATTTGGGGATCAAACAGAACTTGTTATTCAGCTGCCAAGTCCAACTCTGAAACCCCATGGACTGAAGCATACCAGGCTTCCCTGTCTTTCACTATCTTCTGGAGTTTGCCCAACTTCATGTCCATTGAATAGGTGATGCCATCCAACCATCTCATCCTCTGTCGCCTTCTCCTTTTACCTTCAATCTTTCCCAGCATCAGGGCCTTTTCCAATGAAGTGCTCTTTGCATCAGGTGGCCAAAGTATTGGAGCTTCAGCTTCAGCATGAATCCTGCCAATGAGTATTCAGGTTTGATCTCCTTACTGTCCAAGGGACTCTCACGAGTTTTCTCCTGCACTGCAGTTCAAAAGCATCATTTCTTCAGTGCTCAGCCTTCTTTATGATCCAACTCTCACATAAGTACATGACTACTAGAAAGACTATAGCCTTAACTATATGGACCTTTGTTGGCAAAGTGATGTCTCTGCTTTTTAATATGCTGTCTATGTTTATCATAGCTTTCCTTCCAAGAAGCAATCATCTTCTAATTTTATGATTTCAGTCACCATCTGCAGTGATTTTAGAGCCTAAGAAGAGGAAGTCCATCACTGCTTCTACTTTTTCCCCATCTATTTGCTATGAAGTGATGGGGGTGGATGCCATGATCTTTTTCTTTTTTTAATATTGAGGTTTAAGCCAGCTTTTTTACTCTCCTCTTTCACCCTTATCAAGAGGCTCTTTAGTTCCTCTTCACTTTCTGCCATTAGAGTGATATCATATACATATATAAGGTTGTTGATATTTCTCCAGGCAATCTTGATTCCAGCTTGTAACTCATCCAGTCCAGCATTTTGCATGATGTGTTCTACATATAAGTTGAATAAACAGGATGACAATATATGGCCTTGTCAAACTCCTTTCTCAATTTTGAACCTGACAGTTGTTCCATCTAAGGTTCCATCTGTTGCTTCTTGACCAGCATACAGGTTTCTCAGGAGACAGGTAAGTTGGTCTGATATTCCCATCTCTTTAATAGTTTTCCAAAACTTGTTATGATTCACACAAAGGCTTTAGCATAGTCAATGAAACAGAATTTTTCTAGAATTCCCTTGCTTTCTGTACGATCCAGCAAATACTGGCAATTTGATCTCTGGTTTCTCTGCCCTTTCTAAACCCAGCCTATACATCTAGAAGCTCTCAATTTAAGTACTATTGAAGCCTAGCTTGAAGGATTTTGAGAATAATCTTACTAGCATGGGAAGTACGTATGACTGTTTGGTATTTTGAACATTCTTTAGTACTACCCTTCTTGGGAATTGGAATTAAGATTGACTTTTTCCAATCCTATGGCCCTCCTGGGTTTTCCAAATTTGCTGACAAATTGTGTGTAGCAGTTTAGTAGCATCATCTTTTAGGATTTTAAATAGCTCTGTTGGAATTTCATCACCTCCACTAGCTTTATTGGCAGCAGTGTTTCCTGAGGCCCACTTGACTTCACACTCTGGGATGTCTGGCTCTAGGTGAGTGACTAGCCATCGTGGTTATCTGGGTCATTAAGATCTTTTTTGAATAGTTCTTCTCTGTATTCTTGCCATCTCTTCTTGATCTCTTCTGCTTTTACTAGGTCTTTACCAATTCTGTCCTTTATTGTGCCCATCTTCACATGCACTTTTCCTCTGAAATCTCAATTTTTTCTCTTGTTTCTTTGCATTGTTTGCTGAAAGAGGCCTTCTTGTCTCTCCTTGCTATTCTCTGGAACTCTGCATTCAGTTGGATATACCTTTCCCTTTCTCCCTTGCTTTTCACTTCTCTTCTTTCCTCAGCTATTTGTAAAGCCTCCTCAGACAACCACTTGCATTTCTTTTTCTTTGGGATGGTTTTGGTCATTGCTTCCTGTACAATATGACAAATCTCTGCACACAGTTTTTCAGGCTCTCTGTCTACCAGATATAATCTCTTGAATCTATTTGCTACCTCCCTATGTATATTCATAGGGGATTTGATTTAGGTCATACCTGACTGGCCTATTGGTTTTCCCTGCTTTCTTTAGTTTAAGCCTGAATTTTGCTATAAGGAACTGACGATCTGAGCCACAGTCAGCTCCAGATC